GTTGCATTCAGCCTCCCCAGGATCCTGTCCACGTCCTCGGGAGCCACAGAGTCAAACTCCTCCCATATAATAGTCTCAAGACCTGCTCCCGTCTCCTCCCCCGGGGCCACCCAGTCAGAGTCCAAGCCTTCTCGGATCCGAGCGACTTTGTCATACAGATATTGGGCAAAGTCCTCAGCCCTCCCCTCCAGGGGATCCTTCCCCCCCCTCAACTGAAGGAGAGAGCGGGTCACCCTGAAGAGGGTGGCTGGGCAATTATCTGATGACACAATGAGGGTGGAGTAATAGTTAGACCTCGCCACCCTCATCGCCACTAGGTAGGATCTAACATGCATCCTTGCCTGTGCTCAGTCGGATTCGGTTCGGGTAGCCCTCCAACTGCTCTCTAGGCGTCTTTTCCGGCGCTTCATCTCTCTCAGCTCCTCGGTAAACCAGGGAGCCAGTTGAGATCTGCGCCGGGTCAGAGGCCGGAAAGGCACGACTCGGTCCAGTGCTGCGGCAGCGGCCACATCCCAGGCCGCCGCCAGATTTTCAGCCGAGTCGTGAACTAGATCCTCCGGATATGGCCCAAGCTCCATCAGGAACCTCTCCGGGTCCATCAGGCGCCTGGGACGGAACCATTTAAGTGGTTCCGTCTCCCTGCGGTGGGGGGGAGTGGTCCGGAAGTCCATCCTAAGGAGTGAATGATCTGACCATGACAGGGGCTCTATAATCACCTCCCCCATTTCCAAATCATTCTGCCACTGGCCAGAGACAAAAATTAGATCCAGTGTGTGTCCTCCCGTGTGGGTGGGGGCATGAACTAATTGGGTCAGGTCCAAGGCCATCATGGAAGCCAGGAACTCCCGAGCTGCCACCGATGTTTCGCCCGCCGATGGCAGATTGAAATCCCCCATGACTATAAGTCTGGGGGTCTCAACTGCCACCCCGGCTATTACGTCAGCCAGCTCAGGCAGGGCCATTGATACATAGCAGGGGGCCAGGTATATAATCAGCAGGCCCACTTGTACCCCTTGCCCCCACTTCACAAGGAGGGACTCTCCACCGTCTATCTGAGGCACAGTGGTCTCCCTCGGGCATAGGCTCTCCCTTATAATGACCGCTAGTACCCCTAAACTGCATCCGAGGTGGTAGAAAAGAAGGTGATGGGATGTGTAGGATAGTTGGAAAGGAGGAAAGAGGAGAGGTCGTGGTTAAGAGGGGGAGGAAGGAAGAGGGAAGTAGGTAGGAAGGTTGAGGGAGTGTGGATGCAGGGGGGGGGGACCACTGGTTATTTCTGAATAGTTACTGAGTAGGCTTTTTTATGTGTTTGTTTTTCTAATGAAACGCACCATATTTGTATTATTTGTCCATATGTTTATTTGAAAAATTAATAAAATTTGTAAAACAAGAAATTTCTTCATTGTAAATGGATTTTCTTATTCCTTATAGGAATAAATGTTGAGATATGGAAATACAAAATCAAAGTGATCTGACTGAGTTCATAATATGGGTACTTGGCTTTAGAAATCTATAGGATACCCATCTATTGATCTTTAATAGGTTCTTCATCATTTATCTCTTACTGTGGTATGGATACTTTCATTATCATAATGACATTGATGAACCAGAAACTCCAAAACTCCATGTATTTCTTCCCTGGGAACCACTCCTTTCTGGACATTTGCTGTACAAGCACACTATCCCCAGATATTGGCTCATTTACTCTCAGAGAAAAATAGCATTTCCTATATGAGCTGTGTTTTTCAGACATACTTTTTTTTTTCTTTTGTGGGCATTGAATGCCTCCTGCTTGCAGTAATGATCTTTGACCACTTAGCTGCCATTTACAATCCTGTACACTAGACATTGATTATTAGCAAAGAAATTTGTCTCAAACTGGCTACAGCCTACTGGGCTGGTATACTGCTTCTTATAATGAAGATAGTATAGAAATGGTATCTTGCAAGTCTACCTATATTCCATTCCCTCCATCTCATATCAGGAGGAGTAAGGGAGAGAGATAGTTTGACTCTGTTTTATATACTCTTTTGTCCACCTGAAGTTAATTCATGCTTCTTCTTCAACAGCTTCTGTCTTCTTTCTCCAAGGTCATCTCCATGGCTCCCTACAACTCTTTAAGTAACTAGAAATCTTGTGTTGAATCTCAGAATGAACTCTGGGAGAAATGGAAATATGGACTTTCCTTGAACACCTTCAGGTTTAAATGGTTATCAAAGCATCATCAGGTGATACCCAGTGCTTGTAGTCAAGAATTCACACTCAGCCATCCCTCACCAAATTAAGAATACACAAACCACATCTAAAGCTGGAGGTACTCTTTGGTTATCATGAATTGGCTTCATATCTTCCAGGAATTTCTTAAATGACTTTAGGAATCAACTAAATGTAAAGTCTTAAGCTGCTTTGTATTTCATATGCTACTGTTTTCAAATATAAATTCAATTAAATGTGCTGATAATGATTAATTCAACAAGATCACAAGGAATGTTATGTGATCATATAACCAAGAAATAAAACTTTAAAACCTCAATCTTTGAAAATGTGTCTTGTTTCATTATTAATTTTGCAAGGAAGTCCTCAATTTATGCTGATGGAGAGGTCTCTTCTATGCTAGGGTTAATAGATTATTTATTTTAAATTTATTAATAATTTATGGAACATTCTGATTAATTTACAGTATATGGTTTACCATATATTTAAAATGCAGTAAAGGAGATACTCAAAATATTTTCACTGAATGGATTTTTTATAGATACAGTCAGTGGTGGGATTCAAATATGTGAATAACCAGTTCTCTGTGTGGATGCCACTTCCGGAAGTCCATTCTGGGCTTGGGCAACAAAAAATTAGTTACCAGTTCCGCCGAACTTGTGCAAACTGGCTGAATCCCACCACTGGATACAGTACTTTAGGAAAACAAAATAAAAAAGACAAAACAAACCCCACCTTTAAGACATATGGTAAAATTCTGAATCAATAATTTTCTCTCATAAAACAATCTGCAGCAAACACCTATTTGCTGCAGATTCTTGGGCTACAGCAAATCTCAGGAGAAACTGCTGTGATGTCTAAATGGTTGCTAAAGCAGATGTTCCTCACTATAAGTAGCTTTCTCACTGACCACTACCACTGTCACAACTCAAAGGTTTAGAAATAAATTCCTTTTTTTGCACAGTTGCAGAAAATCTTCTAGTTTGTTTAACCTAGAGATTCAAATTAATTGTTCTTTAGGTAAGCCTCAGGAATAAAAAAGTTAATAGGCTTGGAAAATCTCAAGGGAAATGGTTTGAATACTTCAGAGAAAGTAAGAGTTTCTCCTTGTTAGTTTTTCATTTTAATCTAGTTCTTTCTCTGAAACATATTTCATTTCCACAACCTGATTAAGATGCAGAGTTGTCCAATTATTTCAGTGTTGTTGTAGATAGATAGATAGATAGATAGATAGATAGATAGATACTATCTATCTATCTATCTATCTATCTATCTATCTATCTATCTATCTATCTATCTATCTATCTATCTATCTATCTATCTATCTATCTATCTATCTATCTATCTATCTATCTATCTATCCGTCGCAGGCAGGCAGGCAGGCAGGCAGGCAGGCAGGCAGGCAGGCAGGCAGGCAGGCAGGCAGGCAGGCAGACAGACAGACCAACCAACCGACAAAGATGTAAAGCTACAGTTACCATTCTAAATGGTTAGAACAAAAGGTAAGTGGGACTTGGAACTACATGTGGTTGTATGAATAAATAGCCACAAATTAACAAAGGAAAATAAATAAACTAATGAAATAAGTAAGAACAACAAAAACTCATAAATATTGATTGATTTATGTCATGCAATTTTAAAGAATATTTGAATGATGAAGTTTTACCAAATCCTTAAATATGGGATAACATTTATAAAGAAAAACTATAACTTATACTTTACATTACTAAGCCAAAATGATATTAAATCATTTTAAAGCATTGTGCTATATTTAAGAGGTAGCAAAAAAAGTTTTAGTTTTTAAGACAGTTCACAAACATTGAATTAAACAATTTCATTAAAATGTATAGAGTTTTATTTTTTCCATGAAGCATCATGTTGCAAGAGTGGTTGAGTTTTGAGTACAGTTAAGTGTATAGAATAATAGGCTACAAGTCTAAAATCCCCTGATACTTCCAAGAGTTTTCTTCAGCTTTATGATTCAATTTAAATATCACAAATTTCTTCAAATTAATCATTTTATTTTCTGTTATAAGCACAAAAAATTCTTTGAAAAGTGTATACATATCTGTTTTTCATCAAACATAATTATTTGCCTCAGAGAAATAATGCCTAAGGCATTTTTTAAAAGAATGATGAGCTAATACAATTACTTTAAATATTTTTTATTATTTTCTCTTTGGAAGTCTAAGAAAACAAATTAGTAAACACTCATTATACTTTCAAGATTCTGGAGAAAAGAAATGAAGTTAAGTTAACAGAATAAATTAGTAGAAGGCATGTTTATTGCCATATTTATTTTGAAATTGTAACTAAAGTAATGACTAGAAACAGCAATAACTTATGACTCACACTGCAACTAGTTTTTCCTTATCTTGAGAAATTAGATTAATAATCTAAAGCATCATACATCATCATCAAGAAAGGTATTATTGCAAAATTTTAAATTAATTCAGCTGAGAATCCAAATTGTATATATGGAGCTTCTTTACATGTATTGTATAATACCCATCACTAACCATAAATTGAATGAGAAGGAAGCATGCATATTAAACATCTTTCACAGATCAGTCATCAGGTAGTTGATCTATAAAACCTTTAAATTGTTTAGCCATATTTTGTTTTTTATTGATTGCCAATTGAAAGATATTACCTGTTGTATAATGCTTAAAGTTCCTTTAATGATATAAAATCATAAAAAATGCATGCATTTACACAGAAAATAAGCCATAAATGATACAAAACCTCGTACAAAAAAAAAAAAAAAAAGAAACCCTTCTGTGAAGAATGAGGTTTAAATTCTGTCAAGCATGATTGGTAAATAGTATTCCTGTTGGCATAGTGAAATTTTCATTAAAAATGTACAAAATCTGTATGAGATGATTTATTCTGCAATAAGATTCATAAATATTGAGCTCAGTTCTTGTATTAAAGTTTACATATCAGGACAAAACTACAGAATCCACAGAAGAATCAAAATAGGAATGGAAAATAATATTTATTTATCAGCTCAAGTATTGAACAAAAATCAATTTTTGTTGTGATTATCATATAGGTGAAGCTTGGTGGGTGAAATGTGGACTCAGAATGAGACTGCAGTGAATGGATTCATTCTTCTAGGCTTTACTAGTTATCCCATATTGCGACCATTCCTTTTAGTGATATTTTTCACTATGTCTCTTATTACTGTTCTTGGAAACAGCCTGATCATCTTCTTGGTCTGGATTAACTCCCGTCTCCACACAGCAATGTATTTTTTCATTGGTAACTTATCTTTGTTGGATATATTCTTTACACTCATCACTACCCCTCAAATGCTAGTCCACATGGCTTCTGAAACTAAGATGATCTCTTACAACAGATGCATGGCCCAAATGAACTTAACCCTCTCCTGTGGGATAACAGAATGTTTCATCTTAGCTCTTATGGCATATGACCGTTATGTAGCCATATGCTGGCCACTGCGATATCCCATCATCATGAGAATGCCAATGTGCATACAAATGGCTGGGATATGCTGGTTTGGAGGTTTCTTCAATGCTGCAGCACTAACAGTGTGCACAATAAATTTTCCCTTCTGTGGACCTTATGAAATCAACCATTTCTTTTGTGAAGCACCAGCTGTGCTTCAACTAGCTTGCATGGACACCTATTTAATGAAGGTGTTCATCTTTGCTCTGAGTGTAATTGTCCTCATGCTGCCCCTTGGCTTTATAGTGCTCTCCTACCTCCACATTGCCAGGGTGATCTTCAATATGCATTCACCTGAGGGGCAACAACGGGCTTTCTCTACTTGTGCCACACATCTCATCATTGTTGTGCTGTTCTACAGCACTATCAGCTTCACGTACTTGCAACCCCATTCTGACCTTTCTGCAGATCAAGAGAAGAAAGCTGCAGTCTTCTATTCTTTGGTATCTCCTATGTTGAACCCTGTCATCTACAGCCTGAGGAACAAAGATGTTAAAGAGGCCTTGGCTAAAGTAATGGGAAAGGTGAATTAAACCTTCCTTTTGGGAACATGAAAATGCATACTTGGTGTATGAATCCACTTAATTTATATATATGTGAAACTTATTCTTTTCTGACTCTGTGCTCTTGCTAATAAATTGTGCAAGCATTCATTTAAAAACTATTATATACATAATTCTAGAATCATATAAGAAATGTACAAAATTTGGAGATGCATATATCGTTCTTTTCCTAAAGCTCTACATGACTATGTAACTGACATACTTCTAAATTATACGGTTGCCTTCTAAATTATTATAGTACTTCTAGTAAAATAAGACAACTTTGAACATTTAATATTTTACATCAATAATTACATTGTTAAAAAAAATTTTTTAAAGAATATTGCCAGTTTTTAATGAACACTATAAAAAGTGGTTAAATTTTATGTTGTGCTTTTCATTGTAAGTAAACTCAGGTGGATAAAATGTAGATTCAGAATTGAGCATCAGCAAATGGATTTATTCTTCTAGGCTTCATCAGTCTTCCCACAATATATTTCATCATGTCCTAGTGTAGTGAATAGTTTTGCTTCTATAGTGAAAAGCTTTCAGTAGATGATATTGGCTGACCTCAAAAAAACATTACAGCTACACATTTGGTTAGTATTGTGCTGGGACATCAAAAACAACTGAAAGCTTTAGGCTAGAAATGAATAAACAATTCAACACTTCCTTGAAGAAGGAATGGCAATCCACATTTATGTCAGTGCTTGGAAAACTACATGGTTGTATCTATGCAGGCATCAGAAGGTGAGTTTGATTCAAGGGAATTCTTGTTTTTAACTTTATTTTAACTACAGGAAAATAGTTCCTTTGACAAATATGATTGGCAGCATCCTAGACAGAGAGCGAAGGATAAGAAATAAATGATAACTCTCTATTCTGGATTTAAATTCTAAATCTATATTTTTTAGTGTGGAAAGTAATCAATAGCTGAAAGTGTAGAGCTTGACCAAGATATAAAGTGACCAGTATGATCTTTTTGAGCACCACCATTTAAGATATGAATATTTGGGGAATAAGTTATTTGAGCTAAATAACATCTAGCTAGGTTACATATATAATGCAATGACTTAAATGACACACCCCAATCAACATCTAAAGAGCCAGTTACAACTATATATACCAGACAGAAAAACACACACTCTGCTAGAGAGAAGTTCCCTGAAGATGGGCTCCAGCACAAATCCAAAAGCTTGGAAGACTAAACCTCTGATCCTTGTGACTGATCCAGATTGGATCCTGCAACATTATATTGGAACATGTATATTCACCTTCATTAGTGAGGTTACATATATAATTCAAAGTGATCCTGACTTAGAGATCAAATGGCTTGATTATTCAGCCACTATGGAAAGTGCTTGCATAATATCATTTGCTCCCAACTCAGTTACTATATATCCTTGTGGAAACAGACAAGCAGACAATAAAGAATAGACTCTTTCATCCTTGTCCAGAAATTCCTAACTGATTTCTTTAGGGTAAAGAGGGCAAATGCAAACTAATAACAATACCACATACTGAAGGCAGTGTATACGTTTTGTAGTTTTCTGATGTTTCATAAATAAAGTTCAAGCTTTTTTGCTAGCAGAATTTAGTTTGCATATACTTGCTCTGATCTGGATATAGGGATTGATTAGGATTATATTGGTGACAAACTCAACTGAAAGCTATCCAGCATAATTTTCTAATAAAAAATGGAAATAGGAAATTATTCCATGTTAGCAGAACTATTCAGGTTCAACATGGAATGGTAGGCTTCAGTCCTTACATTTGTTTTCACCTTCATAGATGATTCTGGTTGTCTTTCAGACCACTGGGGCAAAATCATAATTGGTCCCATATTAAAACACCATGGCAAGTCATTGCCCAACCAATGAATCTCAAAGTAAAATCCATAAAATTCACATGATGCATCTATCAAGGAAGTTGCACAAGAGGCAGAAAATAATCTGACTATGCAGATTTAATGTAAGAAGATCACCTTTGGATCTATGCCTCTTTCATTAGCATTTAACTAATAAATATACCCATAGTACCTATAAAACTGTGCTTTTAGTAGATTTAGTAGATTTCAGGGCAGCATGATCCATATTATAGGCAAATGACAAAAATGTACCACTAATAGACATACTGTAAGTATGTATTTTTGTCCTTTTTTTTTTTTGCTTTAAAACATGTCCACCAAAGGTGATAATATGAACCAGGATTTTGATTACATTTCCAGCATTTACTAGACATATTTTTAAACATTTTTGCTAATCTAACAGATGAAAGATGCCATCTATAGAACATTTTATATACATTTTCTTTATAAGAAGTTGCCATTGTCAATTTATAGTTTATTTCCCAAAGATTTTGCCATTTCTCTAATTATATATTATATCCAATTTTTTTTGCCCATATTACCTTTCTTTCTTTCACTTGTTTGTCTTCCATTTTCAGATTCAATAAAAAGTTATACAATTTTTTAATCAGCTTTTCATTAGAAGCCAAAACTTTCAAACCTCAGTCTCTGAAAATGTGTTTTGTTTCATTATTAATTTTGGAAGGAAGTCCTCAATTTATGCTGATGGAGAGGTCTCTTCTATGCTAGGGGTAATAGATTATTTATTTCAAATTTATTAATAATTTTTGGCACATTGTGATCAATTTTCATGAAAATGGTTTACAGTACATTTAAAATGCAGTAAAGTAGATACTCAAAATATTTTCACTGGATGGATTTTTTATATACAGTACTTTAGAAAAACAAAATAAAAAGTAAGACAAGCCACCTTTGAGAACTATGGTAAAAAATAAAAAAATAAAAAACCAACCTTTAAGACATATGGTAAAATTCTGAATCAATAATTTTCTCCCATTAAACAATATGCAGCAAACACCTATTTGTTGCAGATTCTTGGGCTACAGCAAGTCCCAGGAGAAACTGCTGTGATGTCTAAATGGTTGCTAAAGCAGATGTTCCTCACTATAAGTAGCTTTCTCACTGACCACTACCACTGTCACAACTCAAATGTTTAGAAATAAACATTTATTTATTTTTTTGCATAGTTGCACAAAATCTTCTAGTTTGTTTAACCTAGAGATTCAAATTAATTATTGTTTAGGTAAGCCTCAGGAATAAAAAAGTTAATAGGCTTGGAAAATCTCAAGGGAAATGGTTTGAATACTTCAGAGAAAGTAAGTGTTTCTCCTTGTTAGTTTTTCATTTTAATCTAGTTCTTTCTCTGAAACATATTTCATTTCCACAACCTGATTAAGAAGCAGAGTTGTCCAATTATTTCAGTGCTGTTGTTGATAGATAGATAGATAGACAGACAGACAGACAGACAGACAGACAGACAGACAGACAGACAGATGTAAAGCTACAGTTACCATTCTAAATGGTTAGAACAAAAGGTAAGTGGGACTTGGAACTACATGTGGTTATATGAATGAAGGGCCAATCATAGCCACAAATTAACAAAAAAAAAAGTAAACTAATGAAATAATAACAACAGAAATAGATAATTCATCAGTGTTGTTTGATTTATGCCATATAATTTTACTTTCTTAAAGAATGTTGAAAGCTTTGAATTATGAATCTTTACCAAATCCTTAAATATGGGAAAACATTTTCAAAGAAAAACTTATAGTTTACATTGCTAAGCCAAAATGGATATTAAATCATTGTAAAGCATTGTGCTATATTAAAATGGAAGCCAAAAAGTTTTATTTTTTAAGACAGTTCACAAACATTGAATTAAACAATTTAATTAAAAATGTATAGAGTTTTATTTTTTCCATGAAGCATCATGTTGCAAGAATGGCTGAGTTTTGAATACAGTTAAGTGTATAGAATAATAATCTACAAATATAAAATCCCCTGATACTTCAAGAGTTTTCTTTATGGTGATTCAGCTTAAAGATCAGAAGGATGTTTTAAATTAATCATTTTATTTTCAGTTGTAAGTACTAAGAAATTATTCTTTGAAACGTGTATATATATACTTTCACCATACATATTTATTTGCCTAAGAGAAATAATGCCTAAGGAATTTTCTAAAAGAATGATGAATTAATACAATTACTTTAAATATTTTTATTATTTTCTCTTTAGAAGTCTAAGGAAAAAAATTAGTAAACACTCATTATACTTTCAAGATTCTGGAGAAAAGACATGAAGTTAGGTTAACAGAATAAGTTAGTAGAAGCCATATTTATTGCCATATTTATTTTGAAATTTAACTAAAATAATGACTAGAAACAGCAATAACCCTATGACCCACACTGCAACTAGCTTTTCCTTATCTTGAGAAATTAGATGAATAATCTAAAGCATCATATATTATCCTCAAGAAAGGTCTTATTGCAAAGTTTTAAATTAATTCAGCTGAGAATCCAAATTGTATATGTGGAGCTTCTTTACATGTATTCTATAATACCCATCACTAACCATAAATTGAATGAGAAGGAAACATGCATATTAAACATCTTTCACAGATCAGTCATCAGGTAGTTGATCTATAAAACCTTTAAATTGTTTAGCCATATTTTGTTTGCCAATGGAAAGATGCTACCTATTGTATAATGCTTAAAGTTCCTTTAATGATATAAAATCATAGAAAAATGCATGCATTTATACAGAAAATAAGCCATAAATGATACAAAACTTTCATTTTTGGTACAAAAATGGAAAAAAAAGAAACCCTTCTGTGAAGAATGAGGTTTAGATTCTGTCAAGCATGATTGGTAAATAGTATTTTTGTTGACATAGTGAAATTTTCATTACAAATGTACAAAATCTGTATGAGATGATTTATTCTGCAATAAGATTCATAAATATTGAGCTCAGTTCTTGTATTAAAGTTTACATACCAGGACAAAACTACAGAATCCACAGAAGAATCAAAATAGGAATGGAAAATAATATTTATTTATCAGCTCAAGTATTGAACAAAAATCAATTTTTGTTGTGATTATCATATAGGTGAAGTTTGGTGGGTGAA